GGACCTGCAGTTTATTCCATCACTGCTACAAGCCTGAACCAAGAACTTTGCTGAATGTAATTGATTCAATTTAACCAATTTTAGCTCTCAACTATATTTCTTTCTTTTTCTGAATAAACCGTTAGATTTTAGATTCTAAAGGATTGGCAACAGTGGGTAAGATCTGGCTGGTATATTGACCTGAGTCTGGGGCTTGGTCCTTTGGGATCAGGAGAACCCTTTTTCTTTTACTGGGGTATTGGTTTTCATAACCATTCATCCCCATAAGGAGTGGTGCTGGTGGTGATACTGGGAAACTGGAGTGTCTGAGGGAATTGCTTGTATGACTTCTGGTTAGCCAGTGAGGTAAAACTGAAGTCCTCTCTGTTTGTCTGGTTTGACGTGCCTTAGTAGTGAAGGATCCCCAGCCTTAGGCTTTGACTGCCCTGTTCTAAGCAATGTGTCCTGAATTGATACTCTTGGTAGTGTCCCGCCAAAGGCTGCTTTGTTACATGAGCCGTCGTCATTCCAGATACCTGTGGGGAAGAGAGGGCTGGTGCTTCGGGGTGGCTATTAGGTGATGTGAGCTGGCATACTATGTGTGGTGTTGGCTGGTATGTTGTGTGGCCATGGGCTGGTGCATCAGGGTGGCTGTGTGGAGTCCAGGGCTGGCGAGTCAGAATAGTTATGGGGATGCAACGGCTGGCGCGTCAGGTAGGCTGTGGGGAGGCGAGGAATGGCATGTCTGGGCGGATTGGGTAAGTGAGGGCTGGCACATTAGGGTGGCTGTGGGGAGAGAAGGGCTAGAGAATCAGAGCGTCTGTGTGGAAGGGAGGGCTGGTGCGACAGGGCAGTTATGGGGAGGCGAGGGCTGGTGCATCAAGACAGCTGTGGGGAAATGAGGGCTGGTGCATTGAGGCGGTTATGGGGAGAGGATGCCTGGTGCTTTGGGGTGGCCATGGGGAGGCAAGGGCTGGCATGTCAGGGCGTCTGTAGGGAGGCGATAGCTGGGTGTCAGGGCAGTTATGGGGAGGTGAGGGCTGGTGTGTCAGTGCAGCAGTTGGGAGGCGAGGGTTGGCACGTCAGGGCAGCTGTGGGGAGGCGAGGGCTGGCGTGTCAGGGTAGCTGTGGGTATTTGAGGGCTGGTGCGTCAGGGCCATTGTGGGATGAGAAGGCAGGTGTACTGGCGCCACTGTGGGGAGGGGAGCGCTGGTGCATCAGGGTGGCAACAGGGAGGGAAGGGTTCGTGGTTGAGGGCAGTTGTGGGGAGGTGAGGAGTGGTGGTTTGGGGCAGCTGTAGGGGGCGAGGGCTGGTGCATCAGGATGGCTGTGTGGAGGCCAGGACTAGTACTTTGGGGCAGCTGTAGGGAGGCGAGGGCTGGCGCCTCAGAGCGGCTGTGGGGGGACGAGGGCTGGCGCGTCGGGGCAGTTGTGGGGATGCAATAGCTGGTGCTTTGGGGTGGCTGTGGGGAGGTGTGGGCTGGTGCATCAGGGCAACTATGGGGATGCAAGGGCTGGTGCTTTGGGATGACAATGGGATGGCGAGGGCTGGTACACTGGGGGGTGGTTATGGCTGGGACGTTGGATGGCTGTAGGATTTGTGCATCAGGGCAGTTGGGGGGAGCCGAGGGCTGGCGTGTTGGGGTGGCTCTGGGAAGGTGAGGGCTGGTGCATCAGGGTAGCTGTGGGGAGGCAAAGGTTCGTACATCAGGATGGCCATGGGGTGGGGCATTGGGGCAGTTGAGTGTGACTCACCTTCCGGCATTCGCTCACCAGAACGATGTGAATTTCTTTCCGAACGCCGACACAGCTGTGATGGGCAAAGAAAAGAGGAGGTGAGGCATGCAATGGCACTGTGCAGTATCAGTATTGTCTGGGGTCAGGGCATGGCCTCCAGAGGTGTAGCGGCAGCAGGACTCCTGCAGTGATTTAAAGGGCCTGGAGCTCCGCGGCAGCCAGATCCCCCAGGTCCTTTAATTCACTCCTGAGCCCCGGGGCTTCCAGCTGCCTCTGCAGCTGGTAGCTCCGGGGTGATTTAAAGGCCCTGGGGCTCCCAGCCACAGCTGGAGCCCCAGGGCCTTTAAATATTGAAAGGCCCCACCTCTTCCAGTTGAGGCCACATCCCCGCTCAGGACTCCGGCGTACCAGTAAGTCCTTTAAGTTACTTTCACCCCTGGTTGTAACCCTGGCTCCACGGTGACAGCCAGGTTGGCTCTGCAATTGCTTGATTGTTTCTAAAACAACAACACCATCTACAATATAAGAACAAAATAGGGAGAAATTCTGAGCCTGCCCTACCTCCTCCTCCTCCCATTACCCTTCCCAGGCCCAGGGGACTGGAGATATGCTAATGTTGTGCCACCACCTGGAAAAGGCAAACAGGGTTGGGCAAACGGTTGGGCAAAGCCATTGAATGGCTGACACAAGTAGCAAAGAATAAATGCGCCTGATTAACGCCAGTCAACATGGTTCTCTGTAAAATAGGGCAACAGGAGAGGGTCCCAGAGCCTAGCCGCCAGTCCGAGACCTGATGTCTACACTGTAGTTTTCCAGCCCAAGCCTCGTGAGCATGCATCAGCTGACATGGACCAGCCACAGGTCTCATTGCAATGTAGCCACATCCCACAAAATGATGGCAACCCTACTCTAGGGAGTGAACTTTCTAATTGCACAAAACCGAACACTGCTGCCCTGCCCCTTCCCCGAGGTCCCACCCCTGCTCATTCCATCCCCCCTCCCTCCGTTGATCACTCTCCCCCACCCTCACTCACTTTCACCGGGCTGGAGCAAGAGGGTGAAGGCTCTGGCTGGGGGGTGCAGGCTATGGGGTGGGGCCAGGGATGAGGTGCAGGAGAGGGCTCCAGGCTGGGACAAGGAGTTGGGATATGGAGGGGTGAGGGCTCTGGCTGGGGGTGTGGGCTCTGGGGTGGGGCCAGGGATGAGGGGTTTTGGGTGCAGGAGTAGGCTTAGGGCTGGGGCAGGGGGTTGGGGTGTGGAGGGGTTGCAGGGTGAAGGCTCTGGGAGGGAGTTTAAGTGAGGGAGGGGGTGTGGGGTCCTGGCAGCGCTTACAGCTCCTAGATGCAGGTGTGGCCAGTGAAGTTCCGCGCGCTGCCCTCTTGTCTGCAGGCACCGCCCCCGCAGCTCCCATTGGTCGCAGTTCCCAGCCAATGGGAGCTGTTTAGCCTGCACATGGGGCATGGGCAGAGCTTTCCTGGCCACCCATGAGCCTAGGGGCCACTGGGACCCGGAGGTGGCTTCCAGGAGCTGCATGGAGCTAGGGTAGGTAGGGAGCTTGCCTTAGACTCAGACCCCTGCTGTGCTGCCGACCAGCCTTTTAGCAGTCAGGTCGGCGGTGCCAACTGGAGTGGCTAGAGTCCCTTTCCAACTGGGCGTTCCAGCCGAAAACCGGATGCCTGCCAACACTATCCTAGAGCCTCATTCACAGGAATTGCGCTGGAATTTATTTATACAGATTCCTGCTTTGAAGGCCAGAAGGGTCCCTGTGATCAGCTCGGTTGAGCCCGTTTGGCCCAGGTGAGTGAGCGGCCCCACAACACTTCCTAGAGCAGAGCCAGTCATGAGTTAGAAATTGACAGTGCCAGAGAATCCACCAGGACCCCCAATAAATGGCTCCAATGGTTAATTCTTCCAGCTGTTGCAAATGTACGCCTGATATCTAGACTGACTTTGTCCAGCTTCAGTGTCCAGCCATTGGAGGGTGTTAGTGCTTTCTCTGCCAGCCTGAGGAGCCAAGATTGAAATATTTGTTTGCTGTGAAGCTCCTCCTCCAGGTGCAGCCTGGGCAGTTAATTGGCCTGCCTGGCCACCTTAACCCCTTCCAGTCCTGTGTGGGGTGGACACCCATCATAGCTTGTCAACAGGAAATTATCAGCCAGTGGGGGGGAGGGTTCTTTTGGGTCTTGTGGGGATCTGTTCTCAGCCCACTGCTGTTCCAGATCTTTACCAAAGATTTGGAAGAAAATGTATAGTCCTTGTGGGTAACGTGTGCTGGTGACATGCAGCTGGGGGGTGTTGGCAGATAACCTAAGGATGGGTTAGTTACTCATTCATAGAATCATAGAAGATTAGGGTGGAAGAGACCTCAGAAGGTCATTTAGTCCAATCCCCTGCTCAAAGCAGGACCAACCCCAAATAAATCATCTCAGCCAGGGCTTTGTCAAGCCGGGCCTTAAAAACCTCTACGGATGGAGATTCCACCACCTCCCTAAGTAACCCATTCCAGTGCTTCACCACCCTCCTAGTGAAATAGTTTTTCCTAATATCCAACCTAGACCTCCCCCCACTGCAACTTGAGACCATTGCTTGTTCTGACATCTGCCATGACTTTGAACAGCCTAGCTCCATCCTCTTTAGAACCCCCCTTCAGGTAGTTGAAGGCTGCTATCAAATCCCCCCTCACTCTTCTCTTCTGCAGACTAAATAACCCCAGTTCCTTCAGCCTCTCCTCATAAGTCATGTGCCCCAGCCCCCTAATCATTTTCGTTGCCCTCCGCTGGACTCTCTCCAATTTGTCCACATCCTTTCTGTAGTGGGGATCCCAAAACTGGACGCAATACTCCAGATGTGGCCTTACCAGTGCTGAATAGAGGGGAATAATCACTTCCCTCGATCTGCTGGCAATGTTCCTACTAATACAGCCCAATATGCCGTTAGCCTTCTTGGCAACAAGGGCACACTGTTGACTCATATCCAGCTTCTTGTCCACTGTAATCCTCAGGTCCTTTTCTGCAGAACTGCCACTAAGCCAGTCGGGCCCCAGCCTGTAGCAATGCATGGGATTGTTCCATCCTTAAGTGCAGGACTCTACACTTGTCCTTGTTGAACCTCATCAGATTTTGGCCCAATCCTCCAATTTGTCTAGGTCACTCTGGACCCTATCCCTACCCTCCAGTGTATTTACCTCTCCTCCCAGCTTAGTGTCATCCACAAACTTGTTGAGGGTGCAATCCATCCCATCATCCAGATCATTAGTGAAGATGTGGAAGAAAACTGGCCTCAAGACAGACCCCTGGGGCACTCCACTTGATACAGGCTGCCAACTAGACATCGAGCCGTTGATCACTGCCTATTGAGCCCGATGATCTAGCCAGCTTTCTATCCACTTTGCTCCAGCCCTGAAGGGGTTAAAGCAGCCCTGGAGAGGGCTGTGGCTGAGAAGCTAGGCATTGGGAAAACAGCCACAGCTGTAGCCAATGCAATCAGGTCCCAGCTGGCCCTTATAAGAGGGTGATGGGCCAGAAGGAAACACCCTCTCTCTCTCTCCCCATCTGAAGAAGTGAGGTTTTTTACCCACGAAAGCTTATACCCATATAAATCTGTTAGTCTTTAAGGTGCCACCAGACTCCTTGTTGTTTTTGTGGATGCAGACTAACACGGCTACCTCCTGATACTCTCTCTCTCTCTAGCTTCGGAGAGAGAAGGACCTGGCTGCCTGGGAGCTGAGCAGGGTACCTAGAGTGGAGCAGGGCAGTGGAAGGGCAGAGGGAGCTGGGGAGCTCCAGCCTGGAAAAACCCCAGGCTGCAGGCCTTGAAAAGTGCCTATAAGAAGGTACTGGGGCTGCAGAGAGGCAGCCCAGAGATAGGCAAAGGCAGCAGGTGCTAACCCCCCTAGCCAATGATGCGTGGCCATAACAGACTGCAGTCTGCACCAGGGAGTGAGGGCTAGATGATGACTGGCAGTAGCCACTGAGGCAAGGTGGAGATAGGGGGTTGGGGGTTCCCCTGGGTGGGGAGCAGTCCCGGGTTTACAGTGGTGCCTTAGAGCCAAGCCCATGCTCAGAAGGGGCCCTGGCCTGCTCCGCTTGCACTGCGCCCTGAGACCCTGCTGGCTCCCCTGGCCCCACCCCCTGCTCCTCTCTGCCCCCTGGCCCCACCCCCCTGCCCTCCTCCCTGCTCTTCTCAGCCCCCTGGCCCCACCCCAGTGCACCTTTGGCTCCGGGTAATCTCTGCTTCCTACCACCTGCGGGGCCCCACCCCTGTCTCCCTGGAGCTGAGCCGCCTGGAACTGGTGCAGAAGCCTGGCCAGTCCCAGTCAGTTGGGGGTGGGGGACAGTGTGTGGGGCTTGGCTGGGCCCCTCCAGGCAAGTGGGTCCTGAGGGAGGCTGGCCTGGCTGATCGCACCACTCCTGAAGGGCCGGAGCGATTCCCTGCCCCGGGACCAGCCCTGGCTGCGCGGCCGGCTCAGCCTGGCAGATACAGTCACCTCCCAGCAGGGCCAGTGAGTGCAGCCGGGGGGAAAGGACATGGGGGAAGGGGTCTATGGGGGGTGCTGGGCTGTGAGGGGCAAGGAAGATCTGTGTGTGTTGGGGCACTAGGGAGTGGAGATGCTGTGGGGGATGCTGGGAAGGGGTGGTGTTGTGCAGGGCGCTGGGCATTTGTGAGGGAGGGTGGGGGGGGAGGACGCTGGGCATAGAGGTCCGGGAGGGCTCTGGTCATAGGGAGGTCGGGGGGGGGGGGGAGGGTGTTTGTGTTGGGCAAAGGGATGTGTGGCACGGCTTGGGCCCACCCCCAAGGGGAAGGGACACGCTGGCAGCACAGGGCTGGGCGGGCCACTGTGCATCTGGCAACTGCTGGTTTGTAAATAGTGCCCTCGCACTGGGCTGGGTGGAGCGGGGCTGCCCCTGCCATGCCATGCTCCATGCCCCTGGCTGGCCCCTCAGTCTGGGGACTGACATTCCCACTTCATGCTCCAAATATGTTTGGCGCCGGGCCCACAAAAGGTTAATCCGGCCCTGGTGGGGAGACCCAGATTGTGGGTTGCTGCTAGGAGGCAGAACCCTGACACAGAAG